AATCTAACCATGGTTAGTTAGTAGGGGCCTAGCTAGGCCTAGCTAGGCCTAGTAGCAGATTTTGCAGTGAAACTTGAACCAAATCAGAATGGATCAGGTTTGGTTCTAATTTCTAAGATTTAGACTTGAACTTGCAGCGGTTCAGTTCTAACTGGTTTTAAACTCACCCGAACTCGGACCGAATGCAACTCTAGATAGCAGACATTAACTACAGGCGCCCTGGGGCGCCTGGGGTGGGCAGGTCACCCCAGGTTAATAGTAGGGCAGGCCCGATCCTGATGGGTGCAGGCAGATTGCACAGCCACACCAGCAGATAGGGATATCAGGCGCGGGACCATTTAAGGCCACCAGATGCAGTGCACTGGATGTGAGGCTGATCAGGGCCCTGTGAGGGTGGGGGTGGGGGTCTAGGGCAGATGCAGCCGCCAGGCGAGGGGGCTGCTGGAACACAGCGAAGGGCGCCTGACAGGGGCGGGGGGCCCCTATGCGTAGGAATATACAAATAATACGATTATGGAATTGCTTAGAATTAACTCAGTGATTGCTCCACCCCGCACTAGGAGATAGGTCTCATAAGTAGGCACATGAATGAAGTTATAGAATTTTAGAGAGTAATCAGGGGGAAATAAGAGGCTAGGAGCTCAGCATTGCGATGTATGACCGTTTCATACAGAATGTATCAAAGGGGACAGGAAATCCAGCACAGCAGGGGTTACAATAGCTCAGGGTTACTGGGAACAGCTCTCAGGATTGTATCATTGTACGAAGTATGGAAAGTACCAGACAATCTGACGAAGAATTCTTCCCCGACATATCAGAATATCCAGTCCACTGTGCTGCTACAGTATTAGAGACTTTTTGATCTAGACACAGAAGCGTTCTATGCTTTGCATATATATATAAATCATGATTGCTGACCTGGGAATACCAATAGCGTGGAAGTAGCGCTAAATATACAAGCAGATGATAACAGTAGTAAGGGAGGGGAGAAAGCATGAAATAATTCGCCATCCAGAAGCTCTTCATTAGCCCAGTTCAATCTAATTCTCATTATTCTTCTCGTCGAAGCAGACACACAGGGCAGCGATCAGCGCGAGGTCAACCCCAGGCGCTACCATAACAGCGTAGGTCTGCTTGTCGAAGAATAACTCATGACCTCGCCACAACTTGCGGTCGATCCTGGCCACTACCACACCCGTGGCTTCATTAACAATGTCAACCTTAGTATCTGACCAGTTACCCTTCATTTGCAATATTTCTGTGCTGCCAGTCCTGGGCGACGTAAATGTCGCAATTGTTTTAGAGCCCACCACTGTACACATACCAGTTAGCAACGACACTCCCAAAAGAGCCCAAGAGTTTCACATACATGAAAAGCTGCTCTTGACTTCGAGTAGTTTCTTTCCATTGGGATCCTCAGCCGCGAATGTAGTATGAATATGCAGATGTTCTTTGACGATTTCAAACAGGTGCTTGCCCGCCATATCAAAGACAGACTTGCGACCATGAAAGCTCATAAGCTTGGATTTAATCTGGAATATGGGCTGGCCATTTGCAAGTTTCACATCGAAACTATCTCCAGAGAGGGATAAGACCTTCTCCTTCAGAGCTAACACCTCAGTCTGTTGAGCAATGAACTGGTCGAAGATAGCGACCGGTTTTGGGACGGGACAGAGCTGCTGCGAAGCCATTTTGATCCAGAGTCTGTTTTGATCTTGGCAGTAAGTTGAGTTCTGGGATAACAGGAGATCATGGACAAGGAAATTTGGGGTCCTTATTTCTCCTTATATCTTTCGCAAACAGACACAGGGATTATTTCAGACTAAAATCACCGTCACATCGACAGTGGCTGTGTTATCGCGATTGACATGGCGCCTGAACACAAATATGACCTCCTGAGCATAAAGTGGGATGCCAAGGCCGACGGTCCTCATCTAATTAATGTACCGCTTACCTCTTTGGGGCATTTCATGACATTGCCTTATCTACGAATTTAATCGTCTTATTGGAAGAGTCCCTTGGCACAATCTGAGATTGCCACACTTTTCAGCTCCCTTGCCTTTTGAGCGACGAGATGCTTGGTTAAGGTAGCGATGTCTATGGCACAGAAATGAGACGCCTGTTGCCTGTTTTATTTAGTGTAATTGCTGTCATAATGGAGAGCTATAATGGTCAATAGCTGGACCTTACTTGGTAACATCCTTTTCCACTAGGGATCCAGCTCTTCCTCTACAGAGTAAGTGTCAGTGACAATGGAAAGACCATGGTTGTGCATGGTCTTTGGATTCAAAAGCATGGTCTTTCCGCCCTGCGCGTTGGTGCCTTAAATATTTCAGGCAGGCTATACCCAGTTTGTTCTCGGGCTAATTCTGAGAGTTATAGTTATTAGGCGCTTTTATATACTAAAAACACATTCTTCATTTCCCTCCCCCCTCCCCCCTTTGAGAAAAAAAATAAAGCCGTGCCCTCAGATCAGAACTAAGTGGCAGGAGTTTTCGCTGCCCTTAGAGAAGCATGCTAATAGATATTTCGCTAGTCATTAGTTTCTAATCTGGAGATCGCGGACATCCTCTTTTAAATAGAACTGTGTAGTATGAAATATAGGGGCATGGTTTCCTAGTTAGGAGCAGAGTGAATAAGTATTGTCTTTTAATTAGCTCACGAGCTATGGTGAAGACTAGCCTAGAAAGCGCCCTTTATATATGCATGGATGTAGTCCAACACCACCATGGAGTGTCAGATACTATACAGATGAGACTACTTAAATTAGTTCTTTAAACCTATTCAGACCAGTCTTATATGGTTTATTATAAGATAAATTGAGGAAGTTAAAATAAATACCTATGATGGTGAAGGGATGAAGGGTAGGTGAGTGGCTATAGATCAAGCTTTGAATCTCCAGATATTGTTTATATTCTCAGACGAAACGCTCGACATAGCCAGGTGGACTAGTGGGGTCAACGGGGAGCCACCCTCTACCTGATATTCCATGATGTTGGCTCTTAAAAGATATGACTGTGGGAGCCATGTTACAATGTATTAAGAAGATGTTTATTTTCTCCAGGTGCGGCATAGGAAGGTGACCATAAGTATTAAGGACCCTGTTCATGACAGTAAGCCTGTCATCATATACTATTTTTTTAGGAAGCCTACCGATGATAATGAAAAATATGGGATCCGTCAATGAGCGCGTGGGAAACGCAGATGTTACGAGAGGTATTAGCAGCGACAGATAGACCAGCCATTGTTGACGCGCCTCCGTGAGAATATCAGTGCATTCTATCAGGTCGAGGGCCTGGTAAATTACCACCAGAAGCGCCAGGACTGCAAAGCTGATGTTTGCCACGGACCTAGCCTCCTACACTGGTAATATACCCGTCAAACCGTCTTCTTAATCCTCCGATCAACGTTCATCCGCACGACCGCCGCCAACACTGTCGCAGCCATAGCCATAGAACCGGCATAAAAGATAGCCGGGCGATAAGCACTAATCCCACCCCCTTGACCACCCGAGGCATTCAGAATATAACCGGCAATCGGGGCACCGAGCAGATACCCACCGAGCCAACCGCTAACAATCATCCCTACAGCAACAGGCATCCTTGCCGAACCAAAGACATTGCCTACGACAGTTGGCATAGTGGAAAAGAAGCCCCCATTCGCGGAGCCATTGATAACCACAAAGGCAACGAGGGGCCCAATCGAACTGGACACAGGCCACAGCACAAAAATGCTCAGCGCACTAAGCAATAGCGACAAGAAAAGCGTATTCAGCGATCCCAATCGATCACACGCAAACCCACACGAAAGCCGTCCAATGGCAGAACAAAAATTGAACGCTGCTACAAGACCTGCTCCGGCACTAGACGGTAGGCCAAGAGAGTTGGTATAGAGCGGCAAAAAGAAAGCCGGCACGAAGAGAGGGAATGTACCGATAGCGCCGGTCGCAAAAAGAACTGCGAAGCGCACGTCTTTGAAGAGACTCCACTCGACCATCTTCGCTGGCTTGATCGGTGCACGTTCTTTGATTAGCCAGGCGGCTGGCAGCCCTGTGCCCATGATCATGAAGCCGAGGACCCGGAAGGTCCATGCTATCCCGATACTTTTGAGGAGGGCGTCCAGGATGAAGCTGATTACTGTTCCGCCGAGCCCACCGCCGGCGTAGACGATGCCATTTGCAATACCGCGCTTGGCTTTGAAGTATTGTGCTGGGGTTACAGAGACAACCTGGTTTTTTATAAGTTGAGTATATGTGTTGCTCGGCTCAGTATAAGGTAAGAGAACAAACCATAAAGCACAAGCTAGTCCCAAGTCCACCCACAAAGCCCCATGTCATGAACAGGCCTGCAACGCTGTCCGTCGCGAATCCGCTCAAGATACTGCCCAAGCCGAGGAGGAAAATGCCTAGGAGGGCGGTTACTCGGGATCCGATGAGTCGGATCACCCTTGCATTGGGGACTGCGAGGAGAGAGATGCAGGCAGGACAGAGCGATCCAACAAAGGCCAATGTTGAGGATGAATGGCCCTTCTTCTCCACTAGCGCAGCCTGCATCACACCCCATGTGTATGAAGCGCCCACGAACCACCATGTCACTACAGCACATGAGCAGATGAGGATCCAGCCGTAGCCTCCGTCAGGGACTTGGGAGTCCGCAATCATTGATTGCCGCATCACTTCATCAGCCTCTAGTTCTTGGGCAGAGAAGTTGGGATTCCGCTGTCTTTCTTCTATGTTATGTCCCCAGGTCGGGAGTTCAACTGCTGTAGTTGGCTGTGTCTGTGTGACTGTAGTCATCTCGCCGTGATTCTTGATCTTTAGTGAGTATTAGCTCGAATTTGAATCAGAGAATAAACCTAGAATTGAACAATTTTTTTAAGCCCCCACGTGACGTAGTCAACCGCGTGAAGAGCGGATTCGATGACTCACCAATACTGATTGACTCGTATTTGTAAGCGGAAGCGTGCGAAGCGCGCGCATCTTCAAGTGGGGTTATCGAAGTGAAACTCATCCTTGGCTAGGTTTGGTGGATTTAGGGCACTAAGGGTCCTTAGAAAGTCCAGAGAGGGGATTGTACAATCTTAACAACCTTGCTTTGGTCGGAAAACATTGCGACGAGGAATATCCGCTTGGCAGGCAATGTGGTTTGGATGGGTTGTACGTGTTCATATTGGCCTGTATTTCTCGTAGAGTTTCATACTAAGGTACTATCATTTTCAGAGGACTACTTCTAGGTACGGCCCAAAGTATATACTTACAATCAAGCACCTTCGCAAAATGCGAAATCTCATTCTTTCTAGCCTTACCGACAAGTCAAATAAAAAAATGAAATCCAAGAATTAGAAGCAAATAAATATTAGACAAATCTGGTCATAATCATTTAGGTGGTTAGTAAAGCAAGCTGATGAGCAGGTGACCCCAGATTAGAGTTGCATTTGGTGCGAGTTCGGGCGAGTCCAACCTTAGTTGGAACTGAACCGCTGCGATTTTGAGTCGGAATTTTAGAAATTGAATCCAAATCAAACCTGATCTGGGTTGGTTGCAGTTTCACCATAAAAAACCGCAGCTAGGCCTAGCTAGGCATAGCTAGGCCTATACTAACTAACCATGGTTAGATTTGGTTTGGTTTTGAGTTGGACAAACTGCTATTTTTAACTATTTTAACCCTTACCATTCCCCCTAGGGGCCCCCTTTAGGGACCTCTCTAGGGCCATGCTTATATAAAATTATTATTTTTATATGAAATATATAGTAATTATAGTCATTCTAATATATATTAGAAATATCAATTTGATATCTATAGGGGTGAATGGGTGGTGGTTAAAAATTATTTAAAAGGATGGTGGTTGTCAGACCTTAGTGCCCTTATATATATATCTCTGTACTACTTT